CTGTGAGCCAATCATCAGCTGGCAGTCTGAAGGGCAGGGAAACAGCCCAATGAACATCACCGCAGAGGAGCCAATCAGCTAGATGTTGCTGGGGCCACTGTGAGCCAATCATCAGCCGGCAACTGGAAGTTTGCTGGCAGCTGGATCATGAGCCGGCAGCTGGAAGTTTGCTGGGGCCCCTTTGGCTGTGGCTCTCAACACCACCCCAGGCCTAGAACCAACCCACTGACCCACACAGGAGTCAAGGCCCAGGCCCTGGCCCAGAACTGCCCCTCCGACCAGCAGAACCAACCCAGAGCCCAGGCCCAGGCATAGGAATGTCCTGCCCACCCAAGTTGGAGCCAAGGCCAAGATTAGTCCTAGGTCCGCCCTGCCAACTGACATATCCACGCTGGAAACAAGGCCTAACCTACCTGCATCTTGGGACACTACAGCCATCATCACAGTAGCCTCCAGCTTGGGACAATAGATGGAGCCTAGAGGCAGCTGCATCTCTGAACATACAGCCCACCCTTTCAGACTGATCTATGAAAGAGGTTGCATCCGTCTTGTGACACCCCCACTGCTATCTTGAGTTATCTCTGTTATTGCTACAACCACTTTAGTTACAGTAGCATTTATCATGGGACACAGGCTGGGGTCTAGAAGCCCAACACCAAAGTGAGGTACAGGTAATCTGCAGGGACACTATAAATTATAGTGTAGAAGCTGTAATACTTCAGATTTGCTCTGCAAGAAAGGAAGACACACAATTAACATGAAAAAACAAGGAGGAAAGTGCACCAAACAAACCAAGATACTACAATAATAGAATCCATTACAGCACAGTTGATGAAATGTCAGAAAAGGAGTGTTCAGTTGTTTTTCGAATGTACATAATTAAAAAGAATGACCTAAGTGAGCAAATACAGGCAAAAATTGATTGTTCCAGCAAAGCAATAAGTAAACGAATATAGGCAACCATTGATCACACCAAGAAAGAGATAAGGGGGAGCAGATACAGATAGCAAAAGAGTACTTCAAGAAAGAGGTAAAGATTCTTAAAAACAACCAATCAGAAAGTGTTGAAATGAAGGAAACAATAAACAAAAACTCAATAGAAAGTATCATCAACAGACAAGATCACTTGGAAGACAGAACATCAGAAAATGAAAATAAAATATACAATCTTGAAAATGAAGTTGACCAAACTGTGAAAATGGTAAAAAACAATGAACAGAACATCCAAGAATTATGGCATAAAATCAAAAGGCCAAATCTAAGAGTTATTTGGATAGACAAAGGCACAGAGATTCAAACCAAAGGAATGCACAATCTCTTCAATGAAATAATATCAGAAAATTTCCCAAGCATGAAGAATAAATTCGAAAATCAATTACAAGAGGCTCACAAGACACCAAATGTACAAAATTACAACAGATCTATACCAAGACACATTATAATGAAAATGAAGAGCATACAGAATAAGGATAGAATTTTAAAAGCCACAAGAGAAAGGAATCAGATTACAATAGGGGGAAACCAATGAGTATCTCTGAAGATTTTTTAACCCAGACCCTGAAAGCTAGAAGATCCTGGAACAACATATACCAAGCTCTGAAAGAAAATGGATGCCAACCAAGAATTGTGTATACAGTAAAATTAAGCTTTAAATTTGATGAGGAAATAAAAGCCTTCCGTGACAAAAAAAAAAATTAAAAGAATTTACAACTAGAAACCCTTGGCAAAATATTCCATGAGGAAGAAATGAAAAAAAAAGGAAATTGGCAAAGGGAGATATTACACTAAAGGAAAAAGCAATCAGAGAAATCAAGTAAAGTTAAATATCAAAAATAAATAAAAATGCCTGGGAATACAAATCATGTCTCAAAAACAACCCTGAATGTTGGTAGCCTAGATTCACAAATCAAAAGACATAGATTGGCAGTTTGCACTAAAAAAGACCCAACAATATGCTGCCTTCAAGAGACTCATCTCATAGGAAAAGACATCCACAAACTGAAGGTGAAAGATTGTGAAAAAAGATACCACTAACATAGACTGCAGAAATAAGCAGGGGGTCTCCATTCTCATATCAAATAAAGTAGACTTCAAACCAAAGTTAATCAAAAGGGATACAGAAGGACATTTCCCTTTGCTTAAAGGAACTATACATCAACAAGGCATAACAATTATAAATATATATGCCCCAAACAAAGAAGCATCTATGTCCATCAAATAAACTCTTCTCAAGTTTAAGAGTCAAATAGACTACAACACAATAATTCTGGGTGACTTTAACATACCTCTTTCACCACTGGATAAATTTTCCAAACAAAAGCTGAACAAAGAAAGCAGCAAAATAAATAATAAAATCAATAACTTAGACTTAACTGATATATATATATATATATATATATATATATAATTTTATCCATCAACAAGTGAATACTCTTTCTTCTCAGCAGCACATGGATCTTTCTCTAAATAGACCATATATTATACCACAAAGCAATTCTTATCAAATACAAAATGTAGAGATACTACCCTGCACTCTATCAGATCATAATGTACGTAAATTAGAAATCAGTGTTAAAAATAGAAGCTACTATAACAACTTGAGACCAAATAATATGCTATTGAATAAACAATGGGTTCAAAAAGACATCAAAGAGGAGATTAAAAAATTCTTAGAGTTAAGTGAAAACACTGATAGAATATATCAATATCTCTGGAACAATATGAAGGCAGTACTAAGAATAAAGTTCATTGAATGGAGTTCATTTCATAAAAGAAGAAAAAGCCAACAAATAAATGACCCAACATTACATCTCAAAGCCCTAGAAAAAGAACAAACTTACAACAAAAGCAGTAGAAGGCAGGAAAAAATTAAAATCAGAGATGAAACCAATAAAATTGAAACAAAAGAACCAACTGAAAAATTGACAAAACAAAAAGCTGTTTCTTTGAAAGAATAAATAAAATTGATAAAGCCTTAACCATGCTAAAGAGGAGAAGGATAAAGAAAACTCAGATTACTAACATCCATGATAAAAAAGGAAATATCATAATAAACACCACAGAAATACAGAATAAAATTAGAAATTATTTTGAAAACTTGTTCTCCAATAAAATAGAAAGTATCAAAGGCATTAACAAATTTCTAGAGTCTATGATTTGCTCAAACTGAATCAGGATGATATATAGAAGTTAAACAGATCAATTTCAAGCAGTGGAATAGAAGATGCCATCAGAAGCCTACAAACCAAGAAAAACCCAAGACCAGATGGATACACAGCTGAATTCTACAAGACCATCAAAGAAGAACTAATACCAATACTCCTCAAATTATTTCATTTAATAGAAAAAGAGGGAACATTTCAAAAACTCATTCTATGACTCCAATATCACCATTATTCCAAAACCAAAGACACATAAAAGAAAGAAAACTTCAGGGCAATATCTTTAATGAACACAGATGCAAAAATTTTCAATAAAATTCTGCCAAGTTGAATACAAAAAACATATTAAAAAAATAGTGCACCACAATCAAGTGGGGTTCATCCCAAGGATGCAAGATTGGTTCAACATAT